TACTGCAAAGGATTCCATCATTTCTTGTGCAAAGTCCAAGTACCTTAAAATGAAGTCTCCCAGGAGCTGAGTTTTGCCTGGTTAACTCTTCCGCCTTTTGTCCAGCTATTATGTGCCTAATGTCCTCCGCTAACTTATGTGGTCATTTACCTCCCCGTCTATTCATGCTTTTTTCTTGCCCTGGAATGTTCTTCATCGCCTGTGTGACCTCCATCTTCTGGCAGATTCCTCCCTATTCTTTAAAATTCACATTAAACCTCACACCCTCCAGTTAGCCACCTTGTTCCCCATGCCGCCCAGGGTGTGGCCCTCCCTTGGGCTTCTGTAATAGCCTATGCATGTACCTGTCAAATGCACTCCAATGGATTTTAATTGCTTACGCATCTTCATCCCTCGTGAGATAATCAGGGACAACTTTTTAATCTATCACTCCGTATCTCCCACTGAGTTGACGCTCAGTAAATACTTCTTTGAACAGATTTAATGGAGGTAACGAACAGTTGAAACTATGGTACCGGGTGAAAACCTAACAGAAAGAGAAATTTACTTCTAATTTTCATGAATACTTTTACTGAAGAATAATATGTAGGAAAAAGTTTTAAAGGTTGATTGTTTTATAGTTTCTTTCTCAAGCATCTCTGATTATACTTCATTTTCTTTGTCCATTCGTGCTTTTCATTCACTTCATCTGAAGTGGCGTGATCGTGTGCCCATTCTTCTTAAACATCATGTAAATAACTGCCAAGTGGAATCCTGGGAAATCACGGTTTCATAGGTTGAAAACAGTCAGATATTGGTAGTTTCTATGGTTCCACCTAAATATAAGACTAGAGAACTATGTATTCCTCCATTTCATCTGTTTTCTGTATTTTTACTCGGCTCACATAGTCCAGGGGTCTTGTATTAGGAACTTTTATAGTTGTTGAAGCAAACACATACACTTTGTTAAAATAAGTGTGGATTTCTCAGCACAGGGTGCTGCCTGAGGAAGTAACGAGACCCGTCCCACAGTGCTATTTAAGCAAAGGCTGGAGAGCCGTCTGTCAGGAATGCCTTAGAAAGGACTTTTGCATTCTGTAGCAAAGTGGACTTGGTCACTCCCTCCATGTTCACTCCTCGCTTTCAATTGCAGCACTCCATACAAGTTCAAATAATGCTTAATATCATTACAGCTTTAATTTGTCCCTTTATGCCTATCCCACAATTGAATTTTCAAGTAGTTGCTGTTTACATTCCTCTCTGTGGATTCAGGAAACCATTAGCCCCACAGTATCTAATTTATTAACCATATTTTGGCCCTTACAACTTTTCCATTACTCATCCCTCAACATGCTTTGCACAAATGAAAAAGATGCTTAATGTTAATGAACTTCACTTCCTAGAGGAAGAGTCGCAGGTGCAGTAGGAAACCGAACAGTGCCTTGGAACGCTGAACCTATGGTCCTCTGCTTGGAAAATTAGACCTCTTGTCAGAAGAGTTTTACCTACTGTTAATGTAAATGTTTGGTGTTAATATTTTTCTTACTGCTGATTCCTTAATTCCTCCTAACTTTTCAACTTAAGAGAACCTTTGAAACTCACTGAGCCGAAAATATCTTTTAAAAATAAGAAACACATTTAGATTCTGGTGCACAGCAAATTCTCTGTGAAGAAAAGCTCCAGATTTGTGAGTCTATTTGCATTTCCATAAACACAGAGAATCTTTGTCTGAGCTTATTATGTGACAAATAACAGTGTTAGCAACGGGGTGTTTTAAGACTCTAATTATGCATATGTTCCCATTCTCGTTAGTGCATTTACAACGTGAAGCAATACAAAACTTGTACTTTTGGCTCAAGAACTTTTTTCTTAAAGTTTATATTTTAATGAATTTTGACTAACATTGGCCTCATGAAGGTAATTAAAATATTTAAAAAAAAACAATTTTAAAAAGGTGCTAAGGTGCCTCTTCTCCCAGATTCTGAGATGAAGATGAGCACGCAAAATATTTTCTAGGGAGTAGCCTAGGGATCAAGGCGTGAGGTAGGGAGGGAAGACAGAAGCTGAGCTGCGATGCAGGCCCATCAGAGGCCTCAGCCGCCTCCTCAGCGAGCGCTGGGAGGACAGGGTCCTTTAGACTTGTCCAGAGTTGGGCTGGGAGCAGCCTTAGATCCGACACTGAGCAGAGAGATTAGGACACATAGGCTCTAGGTCTCAGGCATCTCAGGGAAGGAGCAGAGAGTTCTAGAAGTGAAAAGGCCATGCAGTTGAGGGGGACAGATGAATTAGGGGTAACTGGTACGGACGGGATGTCCTTCGCCCCCGAAGAGGAATCGGGCGGCCCACCCATGGGTATGGGGCTCACTCTGGTCACATTCCCAACTCTCTAGCTTGGTCAACACAAATTAAAATTACTTAAAATGAAATGAAATTTCAGTGTCTCAGTTGCACCAACCACATTTCAAATGCTCAGCAGCCATGTTGGGCCACACAGTGCATTGCTGCCATTGCAGAAAATTCTCGTAGACAGAGAGGCTCCACACATACCATGCAGGCCCATGTCTCAGAGGCCCTGCAGGAGGGCAGTCACTTCTCACTATCCTAATGATCTCTCTCCACTCCCTTCCACAGGGAGGCATCTCTGTTTGGTGTCCTCAGTTCCATCTTCTTTTTCCTTCATGTTTGACGTTAATATGGCTTAATAAACAAGCACCAGAATCATAGCAACTAAAAAGCATTTCCATTTCCTTAAGGATAGTCTGGGTAGGTGGGGGCAGTATTTGTATTCATCGCACTAGTTCAGCTGGAAACAAGGAAGAAAACCAGTTCAAGTTTTCACATTAAAATACTGTAATCATTCATATGCTGCCGCAGTAACGTCCAAAAACATAACATTGTTGGCCTGCAAGAGGTGGTTGGAAAACAATAAAATTATGGCATGAAATATATTTTAAAACATAACAAATACAACATTTTAGAATCAGCCTCCTCCAAAATAAACTGTATTTGATGATGATAATAAAAACCTGCTTTGTTGGGTGAGCGTTTCCCTGAGTCACCATCTTTAATTATCCGGTAAACATTGCATTGGTGGCTTTTTACTTTCTGATTCTTTCACAGTATCCTTCCAAAAGTTTTTGTTATGCAGGCTGTACCTCCTTGAAAACATTTCTGAACAAACTCTTCCAGACTTGAAGTATATTGTCTTTCGTTCATGCAGTATTCATTGTTTTTGTTTTTGTTTTTTTCTTCTGGAGTCTCAGCAAAAGTCTGGCCATGGCACAAACCATTTGTGATGCTTAAAGGCATTTTTCCCAGTTGCTGTTCAATATACACATAGAAAAGGTGGTCTTTCTTTCTGTAGAAAAGATCTTTCTCTCTGCATTGCACACAGGCCTTCCCGTGAGGTCTATGGGAAGGGAAAGGCTAACCTATGTTCCTGTTCTCCTGTGTAGAGGAGCTGAACTAAATCACACAGTCATACACAATTGAATTTTTATAAACTATGATAGAAAAATACACAAGTGCACTATCCGAAAGCACTGGGCCTTGTACCACCGCATAGAAGGATGGGCATGGGAAGGCGGTGAGCCCTAAGAGCACTCACCTTCCCGAGTTTGATGCTACCTTCTTCCAGACTAGGACTCACTCCCTCATTTGTTCACTCATCATTCATTTATTGAAGCACACATGGGATAAACAACAGGCTAGGCTTTGGGGGCTCTGACCTATGGAGCACACAACCAAGAATCGCCGGTCAAATGGGAAATTCCCCATCTATTACTTTGATTAAGTATCCAGACTGTGATGCAAAGGTCTTGTGGAGACTGGATCAGACAATCCTGTTTTAGGATTGAGGCCATTTGGGGGCTCCCAACTCCCTCCCCAAATACAGATGGCCAGTCCAACGTGCTTGCCTGAGCCAGCAGATGGGAGTAGGGGTGGTGACTGGCCATCGAAGCCCAAACCCCATCTTTGTCCTTAATCAGGTGCATGGGTCTGACCACTGCTGTGCAACACACCAGGTCTCAGGCAGGGCAGAGGAAGAGTCAGCCCTTTCAGAGGAGCGACCCTGCCCACCAGTGACAGTAATGAGGCACCTTCTCACCAAAGAGGAGGAGCTGATGGGGCGGAGAGAGGAATGTGTACCCACTACCTCTCTCTCTGCCTTGCAATGAAAGAACACAAGCCCCCACCTTGGTCGGTGGGCCAAGGCAACACGAGGAGAGGAGTTCTGAAATGCCTTCTCTTCGCCTACAAGCAACCCCTGTCTTATCAGAATATTGGGAGGTGGGGGGTTTAAATAAATAAAGTACGTGACATCCCTAGCTGGCATCAGTGGGCATGTGCCCACCATGTTCTCTTCTGGTCCCCACACTCTTCCATATGGGAGCTTCCTAAGGGACAGTACTGGGTCTGAATAATCTGTGCCGTATGTTCGTTGGATTGAATCCATCGGTGTTATTTATTGAGACCTCACACGCCTAGCCCTGAGCTTGTTTCGTTTAAAAGAAGTGTAAGAACTAAAGATTTTTTTCAGACCAAGGAGGGACCTTCGAGCTCATATCTAATGCCTTCGTTTTACAGAGTGGGAGTCTAGGGTCCCGTAGCTGGGAACGTAGATTGGAGCTCCCAGCTCAGAGCACTTCCCTCTACAGCCCATTCCCTGGAGAATCCTCAAAGGCAGTGAGCGTCCCCATCACATCTGTGTCCCCAACACCCCAAAAAGTGCCTGGCGTGCTGCTGGCTCTCAGGAAATTTGTTGTTAAAATGAATGAAGTCACCACCTCCCCCTGCCTGGCCTTGGGCAGGCAGATGATAGCGCGTGCTTTGCCAAGGCCATTGTGATCAAATGCAATTTGTGATCGAACCTTCTCAAACCACATAGAGCGTCTGAAAGGTAGACTCTGCCATGGACTATGTGGTGAAAACGAAAACATTTTAGCCATATATATATGTGATTTTTGAAGACATACCAGAGAGTATTGTAGCACTGAGTGTGCGTTGCATTTTTGTTTCAGGCAGGAGAAGTAATTACAGGCAGCCATCGAACGCCGAAGCCTGTGAAAAGTACTTCGGACAGCAGCATGGAGCAAACAAAAGAAAGGTACCACCTCCCCCGTCTGTCTTTCCCTTTATATCATCCTCTTCATTGTCATTTGGTGGCTGGAATGCACCTCCCGAAAAGATACAATTATTTAAAGTTTTGAAGTGATGCCTACCATGAATGTTAATGTTTATTCCCAAAACTTAGACTCATGATTTGCAGGGCTCTTGATCCCTAAAAAACAAGCCTGTGTACACACAGGTCCCACCTTCTTGTGATAATGATAACAAGAGTGGTAACATCAGCACCCGTGGCCGCCGACATTTCCAGGGCCCTTGCTTTGTGTCGGGCACTTTTCTGTGTGCTTTACCCATACTACCTCATTTATTTAACCTGCACACATTTTTACCCTCAGTTTACAAATGGAGAGACTGAGGGCGAGAGAAGGATGGAATGTCCGAAGGTCATGTAGCCAGGGCACATTGGGACCGCTGCTGAGCCCTGCTTGTAATGCTGCTCACACTGTGTCCCTTTTATGACCCACCCACCACTTCAGAGATTCCCAAACGCTCAAGGCTACAAGGGCCGAGGGTCCCCATCCTGTACCCTCCCGACAGCCTCCTGGTCACAGGTCATCACCCTGCCTTTGCTTAAGTGCCTTTCCTTCCAGGACTGTCACCCTCTTGAGAGACTATTCACCCCATTCTGGGTATTTCCCAATGTTAGGAAACCTCTCTTAATTCCTAATTGAAGATTCTAGCTCTGCCCCCGGGAGACCCTCAGAGCACACAGCCCACCTCCCGTAGGCAGCGACATCTCTTAAGGTACTTTGGACAAAGCTCTCGTTATTTCTCAATTCCTCCTTAGAATGCTCGTTCAACTTTCCTTCCACTTGTCATGATTTCCAGACTCTTACCATCCAGATGGCAAAATCTATTTTGAACCAAGGCAAACTATCTTTGTGATACAAATGTATATGCTAGAATTATCATTATAAAAATACCTGAACAAGAGCTATATTTATGTCTTGCATAATACAAGCAATCAGGCATCTTTATATTCAAAGACAACTGTCAAAGTTTTGCAGGGACTTTCGAACATAGGATTTGTCTGAACAGACATGGAATTGAATTCGTCCTGCAAAGTGGGGAGCTGTTTTCAGTCTTGGAAGTCCACTCATGTATTTCCCAGCTTAGTGACTTCCGTTTCAGATGCATGGGGAATTTACAGTGTTATCATGAATATTCACGGTCATAATTAACCCCCAGCAGCATCAACACATGTAAAGAGTCTGAATCTAATTTGGGAGGAATTGTGGGGATAGGAAGCCAAACAGTTGGGAGCTTGTTTTCAGACCCCAGGAAAGCCATCATCACTGTGACTACACGTGATGACTAGAGGTGTCTTTGCGGCACTCTTCGTAGGAGTACCTCCTGTGTTATTTTTGAAAACCTTTCTTTTTCATCTTTACTGCTGAGAAATGATCACCTCACAACCATACACAGTATATCTATGTGAAGGTTGGTTGTGGTGCTCCTGACTCATTAACTAACTGCGTTATCCACATGACCTCAGCCTCAGGCTGGGCAAACCCATCAGCCAGACAGCTGCCCGCTAAGGCTGCATGCAGGAATGAGTTCAGGCAGGTCGGTGGTATGAGGCGCACAAGGACTACAGATGCACCAGCACCCTGGGAGGACCAGGACAGGCCCCTCGAACCTCTCACAGCCAGAGCGGCCCTTCCCTCACACCGTGGAGGCCAAGTGGAGGGAAGCAGAAAAGCGCATGGAGGAGCATTTTACTCATCAAGACTGGACGGGGGAGGTAACACATTCAGCGAACTCCTGTGGCCCAGTGACACTGTGCACGATGACACCCAACTGCCTCAAAAATGGATGTGTCGAGTAGTGAGTGCCTTCCCTGTGCTGTAGGCTGCTAGGCATTGTCTTACCTTTAGTAATCAAAATTACTACAAGATAAATCCAATTATTCCTAATGTCCTGAGGACCAGGGGGGTTAGTGCCCAAGATCACAAAGTTGCTAAGTGAGGGGTGGAACCAGGATGATAAAACGTGGTCCACTCGTGGGCTTTCCACCTACCCACTGCCACCATTCGTGCATAGCTTCCCCATGATCAATGTCCCCTATCTCAGTGGTACATTTGTTACAATGATGACCTTACATGGGCACATCATTGTCACCCAAAGTTCAGAGTTTACATTAGGGTTCAAACTTGGTGGTGTTCATTCAATGGGTTTGGACAAATGTATAATGACAGGTACCCACCATCATAATATCATACAGAATTGCCTCACTTCCCTAAAAATCCTCTGTGCTCTGCTAGTTCATCCCTTCCTCTGCTTAATCCCGAGTAACTATTGATCTTTTTACTGTCTCCATAGTTTTGCCTTGACAAAATGTGATACAGTTGCTTTCATATAGTATGTAGCCTTTTCAGATTGGTTTCTTTTACTTAGTAATATGCATTTACGTTTTCTCCCTGTCTTCTCATGACTTGGTAGTGCATTTTTTTACATGCTGAACAATATTCCATTGTCTGAATGTACCTGTTCATCCATCTACCTGCTGGAGGACATCCTGCTTGCTTCTGGTTTTTGGCAATTACGAATAAAGCTGCTATAAACATCGTGTGCAGGTTTTTGTGTGGATATAAGTTTTCACCCCTTTTGCTTAAACACCAAGGAGTGCAATTGCTGGATCATATGGCGAGAGTATGTGTTGTTATGTAGGAAACTGCCAAACTATGTTCCAAAGTGGCTGCACCGTTTTGAATCCCCACCAGTGAGGTATGAGAGTTCCTGTTGATCTACCACCTCGCCAGCATTTGGTGTTGTCAGTGCTCTGGGTTTTGGCCATTCTAATAGGCCTGTAGTGGTGTCTCATTGTTTCAGTTTGTGTTATTAGTTTTTAGGTGTGTGATATTTTTGTTTTGTTTTGGTTTTGTTTTTTGTTTTTTTTAGCTGAGCCATCCTGCCACCTGTTGGCAGCTCAGCGACAGCTCAGCTCGGGCCGGGCATAGAACTGTTGTTGCTCAGAGCTCAGACTCTTGAGCGAGCTCTTAACCAACTGAGCCACTCGGCTGGCCCTAGATGTGTGATATTTTTGATGCTATCATAAATGTGTATTATTTTTTGTTGGTTGGTGGTATATTGATTTGCAATTTTTTTATTGTGGTAAATAAAATACACATAACATTAAATTCACCATTTTAGCCACTGAAAAGTATACAGCTCTGGCATTTAGTATATTCACAATATTATGCAGCCATCACCACAATGTAATTTAATTTACTTGGTATTTCATTTTATACCTGACAACCTTGCTAATCTCTCTTCATATTTTATTAAGTTATTAGCCCATTGCTTCTTTTGGATTTTCCATATATCTGCCAAGAATGGTGGCTTTCTTTCTTCCCGGACCTGTGTGTTTTATTTCTTCTTCATGCCTTACTATGTAGGGACACTGCAGTACCGTGTTGAATAGAGGCCGATAACAGGCATCTTTGTCTTATTGCCAGTCCCAGAAGAAAAGTGCTCAACATTTCACTCGTTAAGTCGGGAATGTTTTATTTAACCATAGTAAGCGGAGTGGCTTTCTAATTCTTGCTTTCATAGTCAGTGTCTGAATTTGTTATGTTCCTACTTCTGTGGCTTCTGCTGGTTCTCGTGCAGAGCACCCCTTTCCCTGATGGCTTGTTTATTTTTTCACTGTGAGCTGCCCCAATGTCTTAGAAAACAGTTTGGGGGCTTTTCAGAGATCTGGGAGGTGCTCAGCCTGAGAGCCTCAGCATGTGCTTTGGGGCAGACTCCAAGGACACTGGCAGTTTGGAATTCAAGACGGAGGATTTTTAGCCACCAGCTACTAAACCTACTGAAGCACCAGCTTGTGGTGGCAGCTCAGCTCTCCCCTGTGCCACAGGGACAACTCCCACTCTGCAGCCTCCTGGGGAGGTGGGCAGAGTGGGCTTACTTCTTATTCACCCTTACTGCGGAGAGGGTGTCCCGTTAGACTGTCCACCTGGCATGCTCAGGGCCTTGTCCTCTGTCCCCAGACACCATACAGTCAGCAAAAGCACAATTTTAGGACTCAGCAAATCCCCTCAGGGCCACGGGACCCACTTCCTTCTCTGGGTTTCTCCACCCACTGAATTCTGACCTGGTGGTTCCTTTTTATCTTATTACATCCTTCATTATCTCAAGAAAGTTTGCAGCTAGAGATGGGCATCTTGGGCCCAAATATGCCAGCCCACCATATTACTGGGAGAAAGTTCTTACATCCTTTAATAGAAGGAATCAATCTTTGATGTGTTTTATGCCTAGTAAGACTTCGTTGTTGTTTTGCTTCCTTTCGTGGTAATAAATATACTCCTTCTGTCTCCCAGTTATTCTTCCTCAATTCAAGAGTTCTGGCTCCTACAGCCAGGGGGTGGGTACAAACAGCGATGGGCCTATCTGTAGCCTCAGGCCTCTGACACTGAGGCAGCAGGCAGCAGGGGAGAGGCCCCTCTCCTCTTTATTTGGGGGATTAGCGTGATCCTCCAGCGCCCCAGGCCTGGCTGCCCACTGTTTATTACCCAGAGCTTCCTGAGTAATTAAAGTCCTGCATGCAAATTACCCGTCATGGTGAGGCTGGAAGAAACTGGGTCCTGGCTTTGCCGGCTCCTTATTACTGAGATCCAGAAGGTTGGCCCGGGAGATATGCCTGGGAGTGAGGTAGGCTGCTTTTCCTCAAAGTCAAGGACAACGTAATTATAACAGCTGAATTTAGTCGTTTACTTAATTAAGCCACCGATAGCATAGCCTTTTAGATAAGAACCTAGTAATTAAAAAGCACAGCTGTATTTAGTAATGACTGTACCTTTCAGCTTTTGAAAACCCTAACTTCCTACCCAGTGTATAGTGGACCATCTGAGTCAGAACAGACTACTTTGCACGCTCCGTGTACTTCAGTAGTCATCTTCAGCAGGTCTGTGTGTGTTAGTCAGAAATACTAAGAGGACTCAAAGACTCAGATGCCTTCGAGGGCTGCGCAGATTACAGAACAGAGAGGGGGCAGGAAAGGCTTAGAGAACAAGGGCGAGTTTACGTTTTTCCAAAGTTAACCCAACCCCCGCCCTCCAACAGATTGAGTCCCCCTGCCGGAATTTGGTCTGAGGATATCAGTTTGGAGCTTCCAGATTCGACAGACTGTGATTTTCTTTTTTTTTTTTTTTTAAGCTGAGCCATCCTGCCACCTGTTGGCAGCTCAGCGGCTGCTCAGCTCGGGCTGGACTCGAACCGCTGTTGCTCAGAGCTCAAACTCTTGAGCGAGCTCTTAACCAACTGAGCCACTCGGCCGGCCCATCAGACTGTGATTTTCTTTAGGTCACAGATAATCTTCTTTTGAATTTCATTTTCTAACAATAGTTTACTGATCTTTTTTTTTTTTTTCATTTATTCAACAAGTATTTCTTCAGTAAGGCTGTATGCCACAGATACAAGATGAAAAAGATAGAACCTCTGCCTCAAAGATGTCAGTCTAGTAGGGAAATGGACCAGTAATGAGACAATCACACGGCAATGGGATAGATTTTATATCGGGGCACTGTACCCTGCCCTGTTAGATGTCACCTGGAAACTCGCCTGTTTGCACAGACCCTGGGATTGCTGGTGTCTGGAATACAGTAGGCACTTAATATATATCCACTGAATAATCGACTGAATGAATGTGGGGTAGTGATTGCAAAATAATTTGATCATCAAAATCACTAGGGGAACTCTATATAAATACCAATTACTGGGCCCAACTCCAGGCCTTTGGAATTCAAATTGCCAGAAAAGCAACCCAGTGGCCTGCATTATCCAGAGTTTCTATGACTATGATAATGCGAATCATCAGCCAGGGGCGGTCCTCTCTTGTTCCTTTCACCATAAACATTGCTGAGAGGACCAAGGGATGGAGGGATGGGAGGTGGGGTGTGGGGGTGTGGGGGTGTGTGGCATAGCAGCAGGTTCTTGTGGGAGGGGAAATTGGTGGGCTGAGCTCTGCTATGCACCTGAACTTGCATAAACGCCCCTGCCAAACCACAGCCTGTGGGATTGTGTGACGCACAGGGTCCATGAGCCTGATTAGCCCCACTCAGGAGGAAGGCCTGCCCAGAGTGGTTCTCTTAAGGCCCTGGCTGTGGGCTTTGAGGTGCAGGGTCTCCCAGCCACCGTGCATTCGCACCACCTGGGAGCACATTTTAGCACCTTATTATTACTCCCAGGGTCAGATTCCTGCTTCTCCAAGGCGCTCAGCTACTTGAAACCAGAGGTTTCTATGTTCCAGGGATAGCACTTGCCAGTGGTCGCTGAATAAATGAGTGAATGAGTTGAATCTTGTTTTGAAATTTAATTTTAAATGACATGTCAATTTCCTTTTGCCTTTTTTACTGTTACAGAAGCAAGCAAGTTGAGAGGCTAGAAGTGGACCCTAGCAAGCATTCCTTCCCTGATGTGGCTAACATAGTTCAAGGGAACAAACATGCGTCCCGAAGAGTCCGACCTGAGCCCACAGTTATACCAAGTGAGGAAGACCCAGACTTTGAAGATAACCCGGAAGTGCCCCCGTTGATTTGAAACGTGGGGCTGCAGTGACTGTGACCTGGCAGACCCAGCTTTGCTCAGTGCAGAGACTGTCCGCATGTCATTTAGGGGGTGAACCCCGAGTTGTGTGTCAGCATCAGCACTCCCGTGTTTTAGCTCTTCCCCTCTACAGTAAATGCTTACGCTAGTTTAAAATGAAAAGGTGCGCCTTAAGTATGCTTTAGCTCATCATTTGTCTAGAATGAAGTGTTGGCTAGTGAAATGTTCAGTAAATCATAGGACTAACCTAACGCAGTTATCCCTTAAATAACTGAAAACAATGCTGTTATGGACTGAATATCATCTTCCCAATTCATGTGCGGAAGCCCTAACCCCCTGGGGACTTTGGGCGGTAATTAGGTTTTAGACGAGGTCATGAGGATGGGGCCCCCATGAAGGGGTTAGTGTCCTTAGGAGAGGAAAGGAGACCACAGTGCCCTGCCGCCCTCCCTCCTTCCACCATGTGAGGTCTCAGCAAGAAGCCAGCCATCTGCCAGCCAGGAAGAGGGCCCTCACCAGGAACCGAACCTGCCAGCACCCTGACCTTGGCCTTCCCAGCCTCCAAAGCTGTGAGAAAGAAATGTCTGTTGGTTAAGCTCCTGAGTCTGTGGTATTTCCTTGTAGCAGCCTGTTCTGGCTGAGACACTGTCTGCTCCTCAGAAAGGATACGCAGAGTCCCACGTGTCGCCTTATCCACCCATGGGTGATGGTTATCCTCTTCTAGAGGAGTCACTCCTCAATGCCATAGACCTGCCTACACTCATGCCCAGGTGCTGGGAAGGGTCACCCACAGTGAAGAAGGGGCAAAGGCAGAGTGGGAGACGAAGATACATTGTGTGCTGATTCCGGCTGCAAGATAAACACTCCACGTTAACTTTATACCAATAGTAATCCGTGACCTTGGAATCTGGTGCTGCGGCTGCTGTTTCCAGATCCCCCCGCCTCACTGACCCTTTTCACTCTGCCGATGCTCATTTCTTACTAAGAAGACTCATTGCTCATGCCCCCGTCAGCATCACCGGGGGCAGGAAAGTCCTCGTCCTCATAGTCCCTGGGAGAGAGGACATCTCATGGGGTGTGATGTCATCTTCTGTTCCCGATGCCCAAATGCTCTCCCGTCCGGGCATTTTTTTCTCCTGCTTGTCAAGTTTTCTTGAGCAGCATGATGGCCCATCATGTCCCACTGTCCCCAGTACAGTCGTTCATGTCCCTGCATCCTGTCCCCAGCTACCATGACGAGCTTTGCAGCAGGACATCCCCCCTCCCCAATGTGAGTGGCTGTGAATGTCAATAGACCACCGCCCGCAGTGACCACTAGGGGAGGTGTGCGCGTCGCCCAAGCCCCAGGGCCTGAGCACAGGCACCCTCGTTCCTGGCCCCGAGAGGACTGCCCTCCTCTCCACAGCTGGGGCTGCGACACAGAGTGTGTGTCTGTCACTGCTGGCAGTCTGTCACAGCTTACCTGACACCTTGGATGGGAAGTGATACCTCATCTCCAGTGGACGCAGGGCAGGCCATTGTGTCTGAGACTAGCTGTTCTAGACATCTACTCCCTAAGTTTTGCTCCTCTCACGTGGTCTGGTGTTTTCCAGGTGTCAGAGGCAAGCTTCCGTTTGCCCTGGTGACGGTCCCTCACTCAGCACGCATGTGCGGAGCACCCCGCTAGGTGCAAGGAGCCACTTCAGGCACCAGGGAGATTGTCTTCTCTGAGGGCCCCTCTCCAGTTCCCATCCTCGTTCTGCTGAGCGACTGCTCCCTGCAGCCATCACACTATGCCGTCCCCAGGGTGATCCTTTCGGCCCGTCCTCATCTCCATGTGCACAGCCTCCCTCTCCCTGGAGACCCGGGCCCATTCCCGTGGCTTCTGCCGCCAGCTCTGGGCTGATGCCCCTGAGAGCTTCATTTCAGGTGTTAGCCGCCTTCCTAAAGTGACTCTCTCCTCCTGGCCCCACATTGACCTCATTGTCCTCCCTCACCTTGTCCCACCACGTCACCTTCGTCTGCCTCTTGCCTTCTGGCTTTCGTCTAATGGATTCAGTTTCTACTTGCCCCGATTAGAAGACACCGGCACTGCTTCCTGTGGTCAACATTCAATTGGTAACTAAATCCTGTCAATTCTGCCTCAAAAACTGCTTCTTTAGTCTCCTCTAAACCCATGTCCACTGTCTGCACTCGTCTCCCATCGTCTGCTATGTCAACGCGACCCCCACCCCTCCTCGATATGAATGGTCCTCTGATGGTTGCCTAGAGACGAGATCTGGGCCCCGCCTCTTGTGAGGCCTCACCTCCCATCACCTCCCCCTGGGCACCCAACCTGCCCACGGCACCAAAGTTGTCACCATTCCTGAGAGCACGCGTGGTCCTCTGTTAGAGGTGTCACTGAACTGAGGTGGGGATGCACTGGGTCCCAGAGCCCAGGTGAACCCTGTCAGGGTAGGGTGGGAGCAGCGTGGCGGTGCCACCCTCCTCTTCCATGAGAAGGAATATCCGTTAGTATCATAGTCCTTGCATTTCTCTCACTGAATCGGAACTGGGCCAGTAAAAATAGGGGTGCCATTTGTTGTACCCCCACATGTCTTACCACGCATTTTCATGAGTTCCCTATCTAGGTTTTTACCTCTGTAGGTTTTTACCTTTGTAAGCTTTACTCATTGCAACAACCTCCGGATTATTCCACCTTATTTTCTCCCCATCTCCACTGGGAGCAGGGCTGTATATGAATCGTGAGTGGCTCCTGAGAGCCTGCACGGGCCGACCCGTGGTACGCAATTCAAATGACTCTCCCACGTTGACAACAGAGTTTCTGTCTTTCATGTCACTGCCCTACTCGAAAACCTCCAGAGGTTGAATGTTGTGGGCTTGAAAGCCTGCTTCCCTTTATAGATCAGCGTTGCTGACCTTAAGCTGGGCCTAGATGCCCAGGTGAGCCTGCACGGGACAACACCCCTTCACCTAGACCCGGGCTCCTAAACTCTAGTCTGCCAAGTCTTTGCACAGGAAGATAATCAGATTTCTTTTCTTTTTTTTTTAATTAAATTTATTGTGGTGACATTGGTTAGTAAAGTTTCGTAGGTTTTAAGTGTACATTTCTATAATACATCATCTATACATTGCAATGTGTGCTCACCACCCAGAGTCAGTTCTCCTTCCATCACCATATATTGGACCCCCTTTACCCTCATCTACCACCCCACTCACCCCTGTCTCTAGTGATATTTATTTATGACCCAAGAACCCTAGATTCACAGAATCCACTTCAAAAATGTTTTTCTAGTCTGGAAAGTTCTCATACTTGACTAACATTTATAAACCCTTGATAAAGTACCTACTATGAGGCCAATGCAATGTTAAGTGCATCATATATAGGAACCCCAATCAGAATAACCCTGTGATGTTGGGCATCTTAGCCCCATTGTAGAGATAAGAAATGTGGGGTTTGCTGAAATTGAATGACTTCACATTGTTTGAGTAAGAACAGAGTCTGGATTGGAACTCATTTCTATCTTATTTTAAATCCATACAGTTCCTATGACACAGGTTTCTTTTATACTACACCACACTGATTTATAAGAAAAATACACAAAATTCCATATACATACATCAACAAGATCACACCCTTACCTCCACTGATATATAAAGAATCCCAGATGCTTTCTTTGTATCAAAACATTTGCAGTGACTCTTTATTTTTTCACTGCAATGTCTCTTTAAATCAACCCCTAACTCTTTTTTTTCCCTCCTATTAATTATCCTGGTTGCTAAGCTGGCACAGTGAAGTGGTGTTAAAGTGTCCCCAAATTAATAGTGCCTCATCAGCACTGAGGCAGTGTGTGAAATTACCTTCTGAAGTGTTACCTGAATGCAGTTAGCACCCCCCAGCTGCTGACTTCAGACAAGAATGGGAACTCAGCAGAAACATCAGCAGGTCTGCATTAGCCATCAGCAGAATCCTAAGGTCGGAGAAGGTGAAGTCCTCCGTGCCCACCAGCGTCCTTCTGATCAGAGTGCTCCTCTGGTTTGCACTCTCCCCTGCACCTTTAGCCTGCCAGAACTCAGGGCCTATGGCTTCCAGAGCTTGTTGTTCCTGACCGGAACATGGCTTGCCCCATAAATGGAGCCCATTGTGTCTCTAGGCAACTGGACAGATCAACTGTGAGTTGTGCTAATGGGACAGGGTTGGGGCAACTCCCTGGTACCATGGAAGCCCTACCCCTGCCTCCAGTGCTGGGTCTAACCTGTCAGGAATTCCCCACGCTGGATGGGAGAGGAGCTGGGGGTGGGGGCTGTCAGAATAAAGGGGAGCCCAGTGGGAGCCTCTTAGTGAAGTTTTCTCCATCTAGATCTTCAGGAAGCCCAGCCTGTGCTTAGCCCCACCTGGACTGTGAATTTCCTCCCCAGTGTAAACACCAGTGATTCCCAAAGCAGCCAGTCTTGGTGTTTAAAAGCTTTACAAGGACTAACACTCTTATATGAAATTACATCTACTCGTTCAACTCTTCACAAAATCGAGCAAACTCAGGCCAGGTCCATCTGTCCCAGGACCTGAAATAGCCTCCTCTGTACTAGAGAGGGGCCAGATAGTTAAAGAGAGGGCTGTAGCTGAGGGAAGCACTATGGGAACATAGAAACTCCTGGAAGATGGGGGTTCCCACAAAGATGGGACACATCCTTGTTTATCACTTACTAGCTGTGTGATCTTGGAATGCTACACACTTCCTTTGAGCCTGTTTCCTCATCTGTAAAATAAGATTTATAATAATGCTGATCATAGAGTTGATGTGAGGGTTAAATGCATATGATACTACTGGCATATAGTAGTCACATCAATAACTGTTATCAAGATGATGATGGTGGTGGTGGTGATGGTGACGATGGTGGTAATGGTGTGGTGATGGTGACGGTGATGGGATGATGATGGTGGTGGTTATTTTGATGACAGGGTAATAATGCATAAAAAGTACTTAGTAAATAAAACATTGTGGTATTGGAACTGAACAGGATCCAGAAACAAGACCATCCCATATGGATACTTGATCTATAACAAAGGAGAAACTAGAGAGCAATAGAGAAAGAATGGTTTCTTTAATAAATGATGCTAGCTCAAGTGCATATCTGTATGGAAAAAAAATGAAACTTAACCCCAACCTCACATAAAACTCAATATATAAAAGGTTATTTTTAGATCTAAATGTGAAAAGTAATACAAAAAAGCTTCTAATCAGTGCCGCCTTGCTTGGACCTTCCTGAATGGTGAATGCAGTCAGTTCGGCAGGCCGTTCTCTGAGGTGTACTTTAACATTGAACCATATAACTACGTCTTAAAAGCATGAGTGAGGGAAGCTATTTCCTCTTTTTTTTCCCTGCATGCAGTGAACACATGCAGTGACATCTGTTCTTGTTCCCACGTGGCGATCCCACCTGAGCAAAGTTTGGGGTGAGTCTTGGCCAGAAAACCATTCTCTCTGTCTCCCCTGTGTCTGGGTCTGTGCGGCAGGCCTGTCATCTGGGTCCATGCATCCAGGTGGGTGAATGGTTTCAGAATCCCTTCTTCAGGACCATTCGTATCCCTCAAGGCA